CACACACACACACACACACAGGTGGAAGTGGTGCCTCTGCCATGGGTCTCTTTCTCTTTTCGAAGTCCCTAAAAGGAAGAAAGGAGAGCAAAAAAATAAAGCGTGCGTGTGATCCAAAGCCAGACTTTTAGGCAAAGCCAACTCTTTACAGCTCTCTGTCAAAACCACACATGGACATACACGGGCGAGCACAGCCGTCTGTATCTCCCCCAGAGTTCTTAGTAAAAAAACACTCATTTTACAGCTAGGCTAGGCAGTTTATTTTGAAGCATTGTTTTGTTATATTTGTTGAAATTATCTTTACTTCCCTGCAGCAATCAATGACACAAACATGCTGTGGCTGTCCTAGGACTGTAATGATTGGACGGCCTAATTGCCTATTTACCCACCTGCCCAACTTACCTGCATCCACTCTGCCAGTGCACTCATCGTGCGTGACTTCCACACGGCTAGGCAGGCAGAATTTCCCAACACTAGCATGTTAGCTTGACAGCTGTGCGTTCTCAACAGCCACGTTCACTGTGTGTGTTCATTGGGATTATGTTAGGGGGGTTTCTTGCATGTGAATGAGACATGGGTTAGTTGGATGCTGTTAGCAATGACAACGATGTTCTTCGCTCCTCTCCCCAACGCTGTTTCGTGGACTCAGCAGTCAGGCAGTGCGCTTTCATGTGTTTTGGGGGTTTTGGTTTTGGAGGGAGGCCTCATGGGAGCGAGTGGGATTTTACTGGTTCGATGCTTTTCAAAATCTACTTTACTCCTGCTGGGTTTTCTTTCTTCCAAAGTTGTCTCCCCCCAGCTTCAAAATGCTGTAAACCAGCAAATCTATACGTTTTGTGTTGCTTCTGAAAAGCCTCGGGGAAACTCAACTCTGCCTTTCTTTATATCCTAGTTTATAATAGAAGACATGAAGCAGCAGCAAACCAACAAGCACAGCAACCTGCACCGGGAAGACCAACACATCACCGTGGAGGAGCTGTGGAAGGGCTGGAAGACCTCTGAAGGTAAAGCAAACGTTTGTCTTTACTCCTACAAAGAGCTGGCTGTACACCGATGACATGACCTCACGTTAAACTACTCAGGACTGTTGCTACAATGGAGATAACGGGGAACAGATTCAAGCCAAAGGTGTGAATCAAGAAGAAGTTCTACGCTAGTTTCTCCACTAAGGATCATCTTAAAGGACCTCATTACAGCTTTGTTGAAGAAAAACTGTAGCAGAACTTGTTTATCTGATGACCCTTTGGAGTGATCAGACCCTTAAGTTGAGCCCCACTGTATACTACCTATATAAAGTAGTTAAGAGCGTGCACTATTCATCTGTTACTCTGTTAGTGGCTCTTGTTGAAAGTGTCCGCTAAGTGCTTAGCAGTAAAGTAATGGTTTCCCTTTCTTCTCTCCTGGTCCAGTCCACAACTGGACCGTGGAGGACTCGGTGCAGTGGCTGAAGGAGTCAGTGGAGCTGCCGCAGTACGAGAAGAACTTCCGGGACTTCCGGGTCACGGGGAACACTTTACCTCGGTTGGTATATCGCTCACAGGAGCAGTTAAATGCATCCCTTGTTCTCCGATAGAAATACGGATAATAAGATGAGAATCATTATTATTATTGCCGTTCTGCAGTTGCACAGCAGATACTACAAGTGCTTTGTGTAATTTCTTTGCCTCTAATTAAGACGTTGTGCTGTGCCATTGGTGAGCAGGGAATTGTGTTTATGAACAGCAGCACTATTAAGATCTTTGTTACAATACTCAAAGGCACCTTTAGATTTCATTATTCTGTTTAATGCTGCCCTCTGCTGGTCAAAACAGGCAACACAGGGGAAAAAGGAGAGGTGTCTTTGTTCCTCGTTTTATAAGAAAAGGTTTCTCACACACTTACATGATTTTAAATGCAACCATTATAACCTGTAAATGCTTTTTTTTTTTTTAATTCAGAGTGACTTTTCTACTGTGTAGTTTCCTAAACTGTCATAATTTAGTCTTTTAAAGCACACAGCATATATCCAAAATTCCTAGTAAAGGTGAAACTGTCAAAGTAATCTCAGTGCCGACGTCACAGAAGAAAGTCAGACGTTAGGGAGACACTTGTGGAATGTGACTCACTGCATGTATGGCATGAGTAGACAGAGGGGTGGGTGGTGGGGTTCATGTTACGCCTCTGGGCTGATGGGCGCTGACTCATGAAGTGATGTCGCAGCACAGGGTTACAGTTTCCACGGGCTGCCATGTTGTCTGAGCCTTTAAGGTGGTGGTGGTGGTGGTGAGACCTAAGTGACAGCGGTAAAGAATTCATTTTTCATAACTCATTCAATCGCTGAGCTTTTTGTCGAGCGGACAACATAATATTTTCTCACATACTTTCTCCTCCTGGAGGAACATACTCTTGGGGTTCCAAAATGTTTGGAACGTGACTGTGCAGATAGACATTCAGTATTTAATGCAGGTTTTTCTTTTTCTCCACATTTCAGAATAGCGGCAAATGAACCGTCGTTCATGTCGATGCAGTTGAAGATATTAGACCAGCGGCACAAACAAAAGTTAAACCTAAAGGCACTAGATGCGGTGCTTTTTGGCCCTCCTCTCCGTAAGTATGCAATGTGTTTTTAATATCAAAAGCGTATCAACTACACCGTCGCTATTCATGGATATCAACTTGTTGTGGCCAATAAAATATGCAGCATTTGCTACAACCACCCGTCTTCTCCTGTTTCTTCCTCATCTCTGCAGGTGCACAACATAACTGGATGAAAGACTTCATCCTCATGGTCTCCATCGTGATTGGTGTCGGGGGCTGCTGGTTTGCTTATGTGCAGAACAAATCCAGCAAGGTGCACATCTCTCAGATGATGAGGGACCTGGAGAGCCTGCAAAACGCAGAGCAAAGCCTCTTAGATCTGCAGAGCCGGTAAGAGAAGGAAATGCATCCGATGTAGACTTATGTAATGAAGGCTGTACCGGCTGTACAGGTTCAACAGAAACAAAGCAGCGTTGTTGTGAGTTAATGATAGACAGAGGTTACATAACATTACATACAGTAGTCCACCTTCTCTTTTACTCTCTAAAACACACACACCTATATAGTTGCATTTTTTGGGGGGTTATTTTTTATGATTAATTCAAAATTAATGCTCTAATTTGACAGCCCTAGTTTTTTTTTTTTTTTTTTAAATCTAAAAAAATATTCTGCTTCAATCCATATTTTTTGGCCTTTCAAAAATAATATTTTCACTGCAGTCAAAGAGAAGTGCTCGCTCTCCTGTTTGCAGCACAAAAATCTTTTTTTTTCACATTTTATTAGGATAAAGACATCATAAAATATGACGACAGACATTCAAAGCTTTATTCGAAAACGTCAAAGATATTACATTCAGTGCTAGATACTAGATATATAATGATTTATGGCTGACTTTAAAAAATATTGCATGTTAAACATTTTACTGAATCGACACTTAGTCTTCCCCCTCTCATCAACCAGGCTGGAAAAGGCTCAGGAGGAGAACCGGACGGTGGCCGTGGAGAAGCAGAACCTCGAGCAGAAGATGAGGGACGAGATCAACGGGGCCAAAACAGAGGCTCACCGGCTCCGGGAGCTGCGAGAGGGCGCTGAATGTGAGCTCAGCCGGCTCAAATACGCCGAGGAAGAGCTCGTACAGGTAGGGCCTTCCAGATTACCTACTGCCCCTGAATGCCTCTTGGAAAAGAGATTTATTATTATTCAAATGTTCAAATGCACAGTATTTACATATTCAAGTCGAATGGCTAATGTATTCGCTGTATATGAATGTAAATGTATCATGACTTCTGCTAAAACACCTTGAAATGACGAGATTAATTTCATGTTCTTCTTATTAAATTCCACAAAATTCCTCTTTTGCATAACCACGAGATTTCCCCACACAGGAAATACAGCAGCGACATATCTAATGAGTTCTCTACTCTTCATTCATTTGAAAGTCACCCTCACTTAAAGCATTTGATCGGTGACTTTTAAAACATTTGACGGTGGATTGGATCTGTCATTGTTCCCCCCCCCATGTGTAGGTGCGTAAGGCCCTGAAGCGAGCAGAGAAGGAGATGCAGTCGGAGCGGTCGGTGCCTGAAGCTCTCCAGAAGTGGCTCCAGCTCACGCACGAGGTGGAGGTTCAATACTACAACATCAAGAAGCAGAATGCCGAGTTGCAGCTGTGCGTCGCCAAAGACGAGGTAACGGCATCTACATTTTATTTAAATCATGCGACATTGTGGAAGATTAGCTTAGCTTCGGATTGACAGTCTAAGACACGTATCCACAGCTTTTTTATATCGCCTGTCACAAACTAAAGTACATGGAGCTGTGCCTTGCCCATCTCTTCTTGTCTCCACCTGGTAAATGAGCAGTAAATCATGTTTACTGCTCCTATCGAGTCTCTGGGCTTCAGCACGTCAGTCTGCTCTCTTGTGGACAGCCAGTATTGTTAAAAAGCAGTGTAACCAGCATGCCTGGCCTGTGGTAGTGGTGTAAAGTATCACTTCTGTAATATTTTGGCTGGTCAGGGGAAGAGTGACGTGGATCCATTGACGGCAGGAAATAGCAGTCTTCAGTTTAACACCTAAAATGGAGAAATTAGCTCTAGGAAATGTGACTTGGAAGCAGTTTTAATCACATTCTATTTGATTCAACAGTTGAACGCATGTTTTAATCTGGCTCACTATAGTATTAAGGGTTCCATTTGTTTATGTCATTAATTCTTTGTTACTTGCATCTGGCCAAACTCAATTAACTTGTAAATTCACATGAAGCCTTGAAGTTGGGGTGGCTTAAAAACATAGATTGCTTTTTTTTTAATATTAATTACCTGATATCAGCCAGACTTCCATTTATGTTCAGCTTAGAGAGAGTCCCTTATGACCTTAAATCAGGCCGGTGGAAGAGCTGCTAACAAACCTGTGAGCCTCGTTAGCCTCGTTACAGTGAAACACTTTTCCACTCTGTTCTAATTTCCAATTTGATTTAATACCAAAACAACAGTAACCCTTAAAAACCTTTTCATCATTGAATGAAGTGGGTGAAAGTTAATCTTAGATCATTTCTCTTAAAATAATCTTCCCAATGTTTTGTGTGTTTTTGAAGGCAGAGAAAATAAAGAAGAAGAGAGGTTCTGTGTTTGGAACCCTGCATGTCGCCCACAGTTCATCCCTGGATGAGGTGGACCACAAGATACTAGAAGCAAAGTAAGAAACTATATGAACACACAAACGGGCTCGAGTGCCAAAACTGTCTAATTCCTGATGAATCAAAGCAAAGACTGCTTCTTACCTGGTCTTTTTAATCAGGAACACTCTAATGTCTGGCAGGTACAATCCACTACCCCCTGCTCACTAAATTGTGTTTTTTCAGGAAAGCCTTGTCAGAGGTAACGGCGTGCCTGAGGGAGCGGCTGCACCGCTGGCAGCAGATTGAGAAGCTTTGCAACTTCCCTGTAGTCAATAACTCGGGGCTGCCGAGCCTGACGGCCAGCCTCTACTCAGACCACAGCTGGGTGGTCAAGCCCCGAGTCTCGGTGCCCCCCTACCCCATCGCAGGAGGAGTGGATGACCTAGACGAGGACATGCCTCCCATCATTCCACAGTTCACAAGTGAGTAAGACGGCAGAGGAAACAAATCAATGCAGACAAATGTGGTGAAATGAAGTATAATCCCCATTTCGTCCTCTTTGACTTTTCCCCAGCGGCCACGTTGATCCGGCCCTCGCTGACCCGCAGCAGCAGCCTGTGTCGTTCCCGCCGGAGCCTGCTGAGCTCTCCGCAGTCCTCGCTGATGTCCCCAGACCCCGACCTGCTGTCCATGGCCAGCTCGTCCCTCTCCTATCGCACCGAGGCAGACGACGAACATATCGTGTTCAGCTCGGATAGGAGGGGGTATGTAGCGGTGGCCGGGACGCCGCGGAATGGTTTTACAGTTTGGACTAACAGGTGTTTTATCCAGACATTCACACAGATGCTTTGGGGTTAAACCCATTTGTTACTGGGTGCCATCTAGTATGTAGTGCCTCTGCTGGAACCTGCACATGATACACCATAATTAGTTAATGTCTAACATAATTAAACGGCAAGATCTTGCCAATGCAAGAATTAAAGTGCATATTCTGCCTACTTTAATTCCTGCAGTTTGTCCCCAACTTTCCTTACTAATGTATTAGTAACTGAAATTCAGACACTGCTCTAATTTGTTTGCTCATCATTGTGACCTCGGTGCATCTGCTCTCCTCAGGGAACCGGCTCAGGAGGGCAGCTCCGACACGGACTCTCTCAACTCTTCCTTGGGCCGCAAGCAGCTGCACAACCCCTGCTCGCCGGGCTCGGACACCCCATACCGCAAGATCTCTCGCGAGGAGCTGCTACTGTTTACCCAGAGTCCCGAGCTTCCTGCATCCACCCACACCAGCAGCAGCAGCAGTCTCAGGGACTCCACACCTCCTCCTCTCCCTCCCACCCCGGCCACCACCCCCTCCGGCCCGCCCTCCACCTCGCCTTCCCCAGCCTTGGAGCACCACCCGTTTGCGCACAAATGCTCGCCCGACATCACCCGCGTTCTGCCCGAGTCCCAAAGTTTAACCTTCTCACAGGGGAACGTCACCTCTCCGTCAGGCAAGGGCATGTACAACGGCATCCTGGAGAAGTCCTACAGCTTCGGCCAGCTGCCCGCCAACATGCTACCCAACGTGGGCCGTTACCCGTCTCTCACCTCCCTGGACTCGGAGGGCCGGAGTGTGGGAAGGGAACACAAGCTCCAGAGCACCTCGTCCCAGGACTCCAGCGACAATGGAGAGAAAATGAAGCGCTCCTCGTCTAAAATCAAAAGCTTATTTAAGAAGAAAAAATAAAAGTGGCAGAGTGAGGTTAGTGTATGAGAGAGAAAAATAAAATATAAAGAGTTGTTTTAGCCCTAATACTAAAAAATGGACATCACTGTAAGCTAAAACATTTAATTTTCTTTGGTATTTTCTTCTTTTGTTCATCAAAAGATGGAATGTAGCTTAGTCTGGGTGCCTTTAGACTCCTCAGACTGGTAGCCTTATTTTTCAATAATGCCTTTTTATTTCGTTCACTCACAGGGAAACCTGCAAGGAAAGGTCAAAGGTCATGATATTTGTCATCCAGACAGCCAAAAAGTTACAATGTGTAAGGGTCTAAAGGTGCAGTCCATACGTGTGTATTGTTCAGTACAGAATGATGTTTGCTGTTCCTCCTGAAGGTATTTAAGTCACACGTTCAGTAGGGACAGCATTACATGCACATCACCAAGACAAACGGGTCATAAGATATCTTAAAAAAAACACTTTCGTGTCCCAACTATTCCTCGCTGTTCAAATTATGGATTGCATCTGATGAAGCGTTTGACAAATTTCCTTTCAGTAAAAACAAAACAAAAAAAAATCCTGCTAAACGTTTGTTGCACTACTGCTTTCCTGATATTTGGGGAAAGAGCCGCTGCTTGCGGACTACATATAGAGATGAGGAATACATGGCCAGCGGCAGTGGAGACACAGCACATGATGCCAGAGCCAAAATGATCTGATGCGTCTTCAATGCTACTTCTTATGCATCTCTCAATATATATATATATATATATACTTTGTCTTCACGTGATTATGTTCTTATAGATGTTTTTGAAAAGATTTATATTGGTGGGGATTCCTACTGTATGAACTGATCTTTACTGGAGAAGGTTTATTGAATATGCAGATTTAACCCACACCAGTAATGTTTCGTAAAATCTAGCTGTCCCTTACTACTTGATTAACTGTGTCCTGTAGCCAAACCAACATACCATATCCTTTGTCTTAAATACCCTGTCCCCCTTGTAAAATTGGGTGCCATTGCCAGATTTTGGTCATTTATTTTTGTGGTTGGAGGGCCTTATTCATACTACATTTAAGGGATACACGAGTGTCAGGAAGTCTAATGTAATGTGACCGCTACCATCTTTGTTTCCAGGTTTTATTTACGAGACAAACTAAGAATTATATGTCTATAAAGGAACTATTTCATCAAGATTTTAACAGATCACCTGCCCTCCCCTAAGCTCGAAGCAGACCCATGCAATACGGTCCCGTTCCTCAACTCTGGGCCCGCACCGAGCGCACTGATGTCAAGAGAGCCCCTGCTTCACACTGTGATTTCTGCCTTCATCCATGGACCTGGCTGTCACTGCTGCAGCGTAACACGAGGGGTCACGTGACTCCCGTGACGGAGGTGGCGCGAGGAAATGTCAGGGGTGGGGGGGGGGGGCGACGCCGTGTACGAGGTGTGTCTGGGTGACGGGACGACACGACGATCCAGTGGCCTCTGTTTTTAGAATATTGATGAGGTTGTGGCAATACAATGAAGGAAATAGACAGAACTGCAAGACGTTTATGAGACATTAGGGTTTTTTTGAGAACATTTTCTGTGTGAATATTTGTATACTGTAAAAGAATTAATAAAAAAAATAATAAAAAAATGGAGGCATCATAGATGTTGTAGAGTCATGTTTACCAGCTGGTCCATTTCAAGCCCACATCCTCCTCAAAGCCGAGCGCAGAAGTGTGGGGAAAAATATCATTCCGACACCCCATTTGTCTTGAGTGGGGAAACCGTGATACACAGAAGAAGAGCATGCATGATTGCTTTATCAATAGAAAGTGAACGTGATGGAACTTGAGGTGATGGTTCATCAATTCGGGCACGTTTGGAGGGGAGCTGGGACGTCTGCCGGTGATGAATGTGTTTGGGCACTGCTGTACACAGCAACAAATACCAGCCTTTCACACCGCCCCCTCCTTAATACCCCCACCCCATAGAAGCAGTTACTGTGATGGCCACATGATGTCAGCAGCGCATCGAGTGAACGCAACCATATCAGCCACTCCCTGACTGGGAAACATGTCTTCTTTTTTTCTGCTCAGGTTATATTATAGTAAGAGCCTACATATAATTAGCCAAAATATCATCTTGTTTCCCCACTCCCTTTTTGGAAAAATGGACTTCCTTTAAGCATAAGCTTAAATAATACATCATATCCAAATCAGGTAAACCAACATACTATGAAAACATCATCCAATAGTGAAAGAATATATAAAAGCCATTCAGAAGCTTCGGGAGCAGAAGGATGAATAAATCGTGATTTTAATAATGAAGAAAATATTCAAAACACAACTTTCAGTGCAGAGTAGTTTGGAAATGTGTAACAAAAAATCCTAAACTCAACTACCGTGTGAGACTGTTTTCATCATGTCAAATTGTGTCACGGGAGTGTCAAGATCAGGACCTAATAGCAAGACAATCTGGTATGAAAGATTTAATTTTACCAAAAATAAAAAGGACAGGAATGGCTGTGTGGAGCCCGTGGTCCGACACAGGGGTCCAAAAATGAAGACTCAAAAAAAATAAAAATACATCTTAATTTCAAAATGTTATTCTAAATATTTAAGTTTGAAAATTTGATTTTAAAATATGTTTTTCTCAAATTGTTGCTGAAAACTTTCTGCCAGCTGTCATTGAAAAGTAAATGCATATTAGTTTCCCTTCCTGTATTCAATGTACTGTACAGTAGCTGCAGTATCAGGCATATTGCCTCAATAACTAGTTGGCACAGGAGTCTTACTGCTCAAACCCTGAGTGGGAGTTCAGAACTCGACAGTCCTGTAACATAGCTGCAGTGACCTGGATTATGAGCCCAGCTGACACGCGAAGTCGCTGCTGAGATACGTGGAGTGAGTCTAGGGGTTTAGTTTAACTTACTTTAGTTGATGAAACACAGTGAAACAAGACAAAAGATAAAAAGAAAGTGCAAAAAAAAAATAAAAACGAGATAAAACCCCAAACGTGCTTAATAAAGAATTCACGCTATCATGCTAAATTCCTGCAGGGCTCAGTTTAGGGTATATTGAGCACTTAGAATGATGAGACCTTTCTGACAAATTTCTGCAGTGTCCAATGTGAGAGCAAAACAGATCCCAAATTTTGGCAAATCCCATCTGACCTCGGTTTGTGCTGCTCGAAAATATTTGAATTTCTTTGACAGCAGAGTGGGGAGAGAGAGGAGAGATAGGAAAATCTGAAAGGAGAGCGAAACACACAAGATGAAAGAATCACAAAAAAACAAGTGAATCAGCAGGGTGCCAAGGTCACCTGAACGTGACAGCGGCTGACTTATTGAGAGACAACACTGCAGCGGATTGTGTGAAAGAGTGAAAAACTGAGAAACTGAAAAGGTATCATGCAAGATTTGATGAAAGCATAAACATGTCCGGCTAATTCTCACTTCTTTGTGTCATTAAACTCCTCACAAACATCACCCTGTCCTCTATTGCACTCGTAACTTTCTCCTGTTTTTTTTTTTTTTTTTTTTTTTAAAGTCTAAAAAAAATCCAATCATTTCTATATGTGTCAAAGCTCAAGCCTGATCTCTCAAACAAAGGCGGGCGAATTTGATTTGAGTGAATTCCAGGAGCTTTGTGCCGATGAATAAAACATTGCTTCTCCTTGATGTTGCCTGGACTTATCAAGTCACAGATTCCCCCTTTGAGCTCGGTGGTGACACCGTGCATGGAACCCCTGCGCAGGATGAAACCGAAAAGATGAAGTTTCTACTGTATATCTTCAGCTTTGACTGCAAGGGAAGAGAAGTGCACAAACGCGAGGGTTTATACAGGTATGTGCAACGCACAGACACGATGGAGATTGACTTTCGATGGATAATGCAGTGAGAAAAGAAAGAACGAAATAAGAGAAAGAAAGTTGATCTTCAATTTTCATCTATGTAAGGATCAAAACGACTGCGTGGAAGTTACACAATATATAAGGATGGATCTTCCTTAATCCACAGTATCACTTGCAGGCTCACTGTGATAAGTGACTGTGTGTGACATTCATACATATGCTGTGTATGTGCGTGCTGAGCTGGGGTGGGTCAAATTAGTAATTGAAATGGGATAAGATAAGATAAAAAAATGAAAACAGCGCATTAGATAAGGAAAAGAACACAGCAAAATGAGCAAACCCTAATTAACACTAGCTAATTATATAAAAATATCTAAAAAAATGACATCCAATACTATAAATGATAAAGTAAACTATTCTAAAAAACTAATATATGCTTTACTTTTTAAAAGAAATTCTTGTCATATCATACAGCCATTCCAATGTATTACTGTTCGTACATGCTCGTATAGGTTTAGTGACTGGTTCACATTAACATAAAACATCCTGTAAATAATCAGTTGAATTTAAAGCTCTGCAATTTCAACATTCTTCTTCAGTTCTCCAAGCTGGACTCAAGCTAGCATCCCTACATCATATTAAATCATCTGTTAGCTTAATTGAATCAGGCAAAATACATCTTTAGTATTGAAGAAACAGCATATTAAGCATTGCTATTTCTAGGCCCATTTATGGTTTAAGAGGGACTTAAGGCAGCTTTAAATTTCATGCCAACTTATTTAAGATGTACTGAAAAAACCTGCTGTAAAGAGTCAAATTATAGCTTTTCTTGACAGCAAATCAGCAACCATTAAGTTGAGATACATTATGACTTTAAATCACACCAAGCAACATTAAGATGAAAAGCTGTATTGGAATACAGTGCCTGTGTATATGCCTCTCAGGAGAGGTTGAAAATCCTCCTCTCTCTTTCTCAGTAGATGGCAGACTTGCCCTGTGTCGGGCTTAGATAACACACTGAACCTGCTGCTGGCATGTCTGACCACATCCACACCATCGTGTAGAGAGGATATGAATGAGAGGAAGAGAAAGAAAAGAGGGAAACATTTTAATGTATTTTTTGTGCTGGAAAATGATGTTGGATTCATGAAGAATGCGTTCAGCTTTTAAAAATGTCCCCATGAATGATCCATTAAGATGTCTTCATCATCACACATTCCCTTTTAGATGGGTGATGATGAAGACATCTTAATGATAATATAACAGGTTCCCACATTTTTAGACTTACTGAACAGCAAAAAAGGGGCATCTACATACTATAAATAGTCTTGATAATCAGCATTTGTGCTATTTGCCAACGGCAGCATAAACCAGTGTGACTTTGCAGCTCAGCCTTCCTGATTAAGACAGCGCCGTCAAATCAAGTGAACATAGACATTTTGCACAAATCAAATCATCCCAGTGATTAGCTGACCGCAAGTGCCAGAGGTGCTACAGGGAGTACACAAACAAGCTGTAATTAAATATCCAACACAGAATTACATTAGAATAAGAAATGAATAGAATATTTCAATAGCATATTTCATTACATCCACCCTAACTCCCACTTCTTTTAAAGCCCATGAGAACTTAAAATCTTAATTGTTGACCATGTTTTATCATTAAAGTCACGACTAGATGAGCAAACACATTTTAAGGTCTCATTTATTAAGAGCTTATCACTCCAAATAAAACCTCAATAATAAATAGGAATACAGAAATCCCTTGAGTAAATTACTGAAAACTGTTTTAACTTTGGAAGAAGATATTGTGGTGATGTATTTAAACCCCACATCTGCACTTTGTAGCACAGGAATCTTGGTACAACTCTTTTCTCAGGCTGGGCAATACTCCTTGTGACTAGTAAACTGAAAGTTAAAAATTCTTGACAGTGAGCTTGAATAATGATGAGTATATATATATATATATATATTATATTTTTACACTTTTACAAAGTCTGTGTTTACTATTCATGTCACTTTTTGGCGTTCTTCATACTTTCTGTGTGCGTGTGACTGTGTAAGTACACACCATGTATTTTTCACGGTGCACACCTGAAAATCACGCTCACACAAATCAGAACTTTTCTACTACAGCCGGTGAAGTGAAAAATGTCCCGATGAAAATACCCTACTCCTGTCCAATCATCATGTTTAGCATTTCCTTTGACCGCGCTGTGATTGGGTACAGCTTGCACCAAAAGACAGACGCACACTCGAAGGCGGTGTGAAAAATGGGGAAAGTGCTCTACTTTTCATGAACATGGACTAGTAAGGCAGTCAAGGAATTTGTGTTAGCACTGGGCCCTGTGCTGCAGAATATTTTTGAATAATCCCATGCGAGTAGAAAGCAGTCTGTATGGCTCAGTTGGTAAAGCGTGACAGTAACACTAGCAGGGTTAGCGGTTTGATTCCCTCTGTGGCCATGATAAAACTCTACGCACACATGGTGCCGAGAGGTGATAAAAGCAGCCAGCAAATGGTATGTGTAGTGAATGCTAAGCAGTAATACATGTACAAATTTTACAGTTCGGTGTTGACTTGCAAAGCAACTGTAGATCAATGTGGGGTATAATGCAGCCTTGTCCGAGGTGAAATACCAGCCCTATTGTTTCTGTCAAAAGTACAGCTGCTCCACGGTCCCTTCAGCGGACACAGAGAATTAAGGGGGACAAAAAAAAAAAAAATTGCCAAAAGTGAAGGAGTGTGGTTTGAAAGACAAAAAGTCAAAGTGCAAGAGGAGAAGAAATGAGGGGGGGGGGGTAATGTGGTTG